TGAACAAGCACCTGCAGTCCCACAGGGTCGATCGGCCGTATTTTTGCGTCCACTGCAAAAGGCGTTATAAAGACTTGTACGGACTCAAAAGACACCAGATTTATGCGGTTTGTTACAACAAACCCCCACGTTACTCGCTAAAGAAAGGGCCCAATCAAAGTGAAACGACCAATACGGATCTTCAACAAATCTTCGTCTGGTGCTCTAACTGCAGCCAACACTTTGAATCCCTGTCTGCCCTCAAGGAGCACCATAGAACCGTGTGCAGAGCCGAACCAACCGTGAAGAAGTGCAACGAGTGCGGGAAGGAGTTCAAGAGTATAACGATGCTCAAGGTGCACAAGAACATTCACAACCCGTTGTACTGCAAAGACTGCAAAAAGATCCTGGCCGACGAGCCCGCCTTCGAGCGGCACAAGTTGTTGCACAGACCGATGCAGTGCACCATGTGCGACAAGACATTCATCATCTCCAGGCATCTGAGGGAACATTACGAGAAGGAGCACAACTTTACAGGGCCCTTCCCGTGCACTCAGTGCGACAAGACCTTCGTCCAGTTGTCCTACCTCATCATCCACCAGCGGGTCCACAGAGGAGAGTTTCCCTTCGCCTGTGACAAGTGTCCTGCAAAGTTCAGGACTTCCTCCTTGCTGACGGTTCACCGACGGAAGCACTCTGGGGAGAAGCCCTTCCTGTGCTGGCAGTGTGGGAAGTCTTACCGCGCTGCCTCAGACCTCTCCATGCACATGGGAACCCACTCTGAGGAGAGACCCTGGTCCTGCACGCAGTGCGACATGGCTTACCGCACAAAGGCACAGCTTAAGAACCACGTGGAGCAAGTCCACCTCTGTATCAGGTTCACATGCGCCACCTGCGGGAGGCAGTTCATGAAGGAGATGTCGCTGAAGAGGCACGAGCTCACTCACACAGGCGAGAGGCCTTTTCCCTGCACAGAGTGTGGGAAATCCTTCCTGACGGGTAACGAGCTCCTGCGGCACAGCAGGTACCACACCGGGGTGCGCCCGTACAAGTGCGAGGTGTGCTGCAAGGGCTTCATCCAGTCAAGCTACTTAAAGATCCACATGCGCCTCCACACAGGAGAAAAGCCGTATGCGTGCGACATCTGCGACAAACGCTTCAGATTGTCTAGAAACATGCAGAAACACAGGAGGACTCACGACGGGAAAAAGATCTTCACATGTGAGATCTGTGGATTCGGTTTCGCCCAGAAGAAATTGCTGAACGAACACTGTGTCACCCACGAACAGAACATTGAGAGGGGATACACAAATGAAATCGAGTTGGAATGTCAATAGAGGTTTTCCATAAACATGTTTAAAATGTCCTAATGTTTTTTGAGACATTCCTATTCCTTTGTTAAATTGTTCAGAGGGATGTTTTCAGTTGACCTTTCCCTGTCGTCTTTAGTCAAAGACATTGAACTGGATGATAAGTACTTCTATGAAGTTGGACAATGAAATTTGTATTATCTTCTACTGATTCAATGATAAATTTGTAACAGGCTTATTTTTCTCAGGCTGCTGGACTTGTCCTGACCTTCTATTGTTCTTAGATTCTAATTAAGCCTAAAATAAATGCTGGATATTTTTTTTTTTGTTACAGAAAAGTCTAATTTTAACTAGTTATTGGTCAACAAATGTGCAACAATACTATAAATAAGTCATTAAGCAAATATATAAAGTTATTGCCAAATTATCTTTTCATGTTATTTTTTATTTTTACTGTGAAGTTTTTAAGCAGCCCAGTCAGTCCCAACTGATATATGCAGATATATTCAAAGCTTATGGTAATGGAAATGAGGCATTCCAACCTTGAAAACATAACCAAAGATTAATCATTAAAAAAACATGCAAAAAAGTTAGCAGTTATAAAGAATCATTTGTCGTCCTGTCCAGTAAGATGTTTATTTTTATTTTAGAAGAATGTGAATAATTTTCATCACGCCAAGTTCTTCTAGATTTTATGGCAACAGCGGTTTTCTCATGGTAATAAGAACTGGGCAGATACAAAAGGGGGGAAAAAAATGATTTCTTTAATAAATGTAAATGGAAAATTTCAGTACTTACTAGGTCATCTGTGCATAGAATTCTTTCCTATTATCGCCCAGAAACAAAGTACTTTAGTAGATGAAAATTATTTTATAATCTAATGGTTTATTTCTCTATTTTATAGAGTGCAAGTTTTTATATTTTATTTTAAATCCCTGCTTTAAATGGAAATTTTAAAATCCAAAAGGTGTACAAGCTGTTGCCATTTAAGTAAAACACCTTACACTATTCAAACTCTCGATAATTACATGAAGAAAAAGAAAAGCTAAAGATAAATATGAAAGGTTTGAAAACAGAACTCTATATTACCTCCTGTGTGTCTGTTTTCAAAATAAAGTTATGGACAAATCTTGCTGAAATTTCCAGAGAAGGGTGCGTATTGTGACTGACAACAAATTATTACATTTTGTTGATGTTCTCGGTCATCATCCGGAGCCAGGATTAAAAAAAAATCAATAAAAAAAAAGTAAATTTAAAAATATACAACTTTTTTTTTTTATAATTTTTCTAATACAATACAGATAATTCAGCTTTGAGAAATGACCCGATACAATATTAGTTTAAGTCATACCAGCTTCTATTACTTATTTTATACTGTAGAATGTTAGGGAAGGCTTTATGGAGTAATAGGACCAAAGCGGAACAAAAGTCGTTAACAAAAATAAATGAAAATGATTGACCCATGTAAAACTAACCAATGAGTTAGAATATTCTAACAGAAGCAGAGTTTCTATTAGCATGAAAATATCTGAGATTTTAGATGCTGGCTTAAAAAAAAATAAGATATTCATTTTTTCACTAACATTGGACTGATAATATCGCATCGGGACATCCCTAGTATTAAATTAAAATATGTTCGGGGGGTTTATCTATATGGTGGTGTTCTGCACTCTCTCTGTGCTTTTCTAGTGTTAAGGTAACAGTAATATAGAGGAACTCTGAGCCTGTTTTCCACTCAAAAGACACGACACAGAGCACAAAAAGGTCACTAAAAGCTGTGCCTATAGCTATGCAGAGAAACAGGACTAAGGACTGAAAAACAGACCCAACTCCATCATCTATTTTTGAAGTTGTTGACGTAGCTAACTTTTACTCACATGACTGATAAGCTGTTTCTAATGTCTACAAGTGTTCCTATTGTGCGTATTAACAATGCTGGAAGTAGTATCGCCATGACAAACTGACATGTTAATTGAAGAACAACTTCCTTGATCGCAACACATTCATTAAATTGGTTAGTAATAGATTGCCGCCTTTATTTTGTACATTACAGCCATCTGGGACTGGTTTGTGGACCGTTTGGTAGTAAAGAATTACAATAGTCCAGCTTTGAAGTAACACGTGTTGAATAGTTTCACAGCATCATCTCTGAACAAGGTCTTTCTAATTTTTGCAATACTGCGGAAATGAAAGAGGGAAATTGTAGAGAGCTGTTTGATAGGTTATTCAAATGACATGTCCAGTTAAAAAATAAAACCAAGGTTTCTTTTAGATTATTATCAGAGAACAAGTTTAATTTCATCCAGATAAAGTGGCTGATCAAAGTATTTTTCAGACTCTGATCCAAAGACAATAACTTCTGTTTTGTCTGCATTCAGAAGCAGAAGGAAAAGAGTCATCCAGCTTTTAATTTCTTAAAGGCCTATAGTCTGTGTAATGGGTTCGTTTCAGCAGGATTTATGGACAAATATAGGTCAGTATCATCAGCATAACAGTGAAAATAAATCAAATGCTGTCTAATAATTCTATAGATTGAGAGCATATATAGCATATATGTTGTTAATATAATTGGCCCTAGCACTGAATCCTGTGGTACTCCACAGGTAACCCTGAAGCTTGGCGAGGATTGTTAACAAGAACAAAATAAAATCGATCAAGTAAGATTTAAAGCAGCTCATGGTTATTCCTCCAATTCCCACAGAATATTCCAGCCTTTCTAAAAGAATGTTGTGATGGACCGTATCAAATGAAGAGACTTTACATTATCTGAGGCCATGAGAATATCTTTAGTGACTTTCATCAGTGCTATGATGAGCTCTAACACTAGACTGAAACTCTTCCAAAATGCCATTATAATTTAAGTGCTTACACATTTGATGAACAACTATTTTCTCAAAAGTTTTAGATAAAAATGAAGATTAGATATAGGTCTGAAACTGACAGTCATTTGGGTTAAGAACTCATCATAAGAGATTTTTAAATTAAGGTTTAATTACAGTTACCTTCCTCAAAAAACCTAGTTGGAAAAAGTTCTAAAATCCAAGTTGAGGGCTGAAGATCATAATTGATCAATTGGATCAAAACAGTCCAAACCCAGTTCAAGTCCTATAGTTACTTTTCTGTAGATGCTGCAGCCCCTTCCAGAGATGAACCAATTTAAGGGATGCCAAAGATAGTATTTTTAATAGAATCAATCGTATTTATAAAAAAATACCATAAAATCATCACTACTAAAAGCAGGAGAAATGGACAGTTCAACAGAGCTATGACTATTTTGTAATATGAAACTGCACATATATGAATGCATATAGTTCTCAGATAATGATTAAAAATGTTATGGTTCAATAACAAATATTTTGTTTTATATAGTATTTGAATGTTTTGTCTCATCGTTATGATCCAATATTAACATATTGTGTTTCATGAACATGAAAAGTTTGTTTTGTTTTTATTTTTTTTTATTTTATTGACATAGAAATGGTCGCTTTCCCTTTGAATGAAAAATTTCCTCTAGGTGGCAGTGGTGAACAAAGACGACCGCATTTAACCATGTGAAGAAGGACATTTGTAAGGAGGGCTGTAAAAAATCTTTTTTATATTTATAATCCTCATATGTCATTAGAATCATTATATAGTGTTGGAGAACGACAATATTTTTACCAATATAGCACCAAATGTAGTAATATAGGCATTTTTGTTACAATCCTGCGCATGCGCACTCAGGATAGGGTTGAATTGTTTCTTCCTCTCCGCCTGAAGCTGGTTGTACCGCAGGGTCGGGCGGACATCGACTCACAACGTCCCCGAATTGATTTAATTTCCCAACTGAGTACTTTTCGGCACATTATGGAGAGGCCAGAACATATCAGTAATGGTGAGTCCACGAGCATATTTATAGCATTGGTTTCTACCGAGTTGTTGGTTTATCTCTCAGGGTGTGTGCGCCCGATTTCAAACATGGCGTACGCCGCTGTGAGATGGCGGTTGGTTTTTGCTACGTTGCACCGCACGCTGGGGAGCTAACGTTCTGCAGATGAGCGTGAATATGTTCAGGTCGATACTCCGTGTCATGGTCCTTTAATATGGGCTCCAATTGGTGTTATGCACCTTTAATATGGTCTTCAATTGAAGTTTGGATTTATGGTTTATTTTATAACTATAAACCAACTGCTGATAATTGTTGCCTTTAAGTCATTCAGCTTACACCACCTCCAGCAATGGTTGCCCAACTTAAATCTAAAGCGACACATCTACTATATGATAAGCACGGGGTAGTTTTTATCACTAACTTCTACTTGGATATTATTCATTAAGTAAACATCCATAACCGTTGTATTTCTTCAATTTTTTTTACCTCACTGGTATGGTACATGGTTTTTACCACACGGGTTTGTGTCAGTGAACGCACCAAGTTTATTTCTCTGGAAGTATTAAAGATTTCACCATTTAATTAAAAAAAACTGCAGCACAGGCTTGTGAAGGACATAAAACTCATTAAAATGACTTTCAAGCTAATTATCTACCTTAGGAAGTTCAAGCAAGATGCAATTGAAGATAAAAAAAAAAAATACTACAGGCAATATAAAAATAGTGTATATAGTACAAAAAAAAACATAAAAAAAGAAAAAAGTTGCCATGTCCTGGAATATGTTCCCTTAGATATAAAAAAAAATATCTGCAGTGGAGTGCTATGGGAAAACTACACAGTAGTTGACTTGGGCTATTTATATAAAATTATTTTAATAATTTTCTATATATTATAGTATTATTACAGAGTAAGAGAGAAGAAGAAATCAAGTTCCATGTTTCTATGGAGATGAAAGCTCCATTGCAGCTATGGGAGATCTAATCAATGCATCTTTTCTGTCCAGTTTCCTTTCTAGTAGACTCTAGAATAAATATTTTAAGATACAATAGAATTGCCTTTTTAAAGTTCTGGTTTTATAAAATTCCTTATAATTCTTTCCAGATCCACCTCTTATACTGCCGTCTCTCCGCCTCGTCATTCCTCCCATCCGGTTGGTGTCTGCAGCCATGTGGCACATTGTGCAGAGTGGGAACCTTCAGGAATATGGATTAGTGGAGGACTTCATCAGCACAATCACTGATATTGTTCCAGAATTGTTGAATCCAGATCAGAAGGCTCAGCTCCTCCTGGGACTGAGAGCACGGGTGAGCAAAGAAAAAATATGTAGGTCGGATATTTAACTGCATGTTAACAGATAGCCTTGAGTGAGAAAAGTTAAGAAAATGTTCTGTGTTGTTTGGAAAGGTTTTATAGAATGTTGGTTCTCCTTCAGAATTTAATTTATCATATTTTCCAGGGGAAACTTGTTTAAGCATCTCCTACTATCTACTGATAATCTGACAACTGCTTTAATAAACTGATATCTGCATCATTTTTTGTCCTTCAGGTTGTTCTTGAATTGTGTCGGCCTGAGCAGATCTCAGACACACACTCCATCCAGATGCACCTGGAGCGGATTAAAGCCCTGATATCCAGCTGGGCGACGCAGGTCAGCTTCTCAAAATCTGTTTTCATAAATCTTTCAGCCTGTCAGATATCAGAAAGCTCTTGTTCTTTGCTTTTAGCCTTGTTTTGCAGATGTACAGTTTCCAGAGTCCAACTTTGTGGATCAGGTTGGGTTGTTATTGAAGGATCCCGAAGAGAAGGAGAAGTTCTTCCAGGTCTTTATCTATCATTACTTGTATCAAGCTTTATTTTTTTTTATTTAAATAGCTTGTAAACTAAAAATGTTACCTTTTCTTCCCCAGGATGTTTTCCCTACAGATTTTGGACCAGATTATGACAACGCTCTTCAGATGCTGATGTTGGATTTTCTGTCCAGGCTGGAGAGGCTTCTTCCAGTACCTGACATTCAGCAGGTAAACACTGCAAGCTTGAGCCTGCTGCCAATATGAAGATGAACAAAGGTCTACAAAAGCAAGGATTTTAAAACTATTTTAACCTGCTGTCCAACCGTTTAAAGGCATGCTAAGCACTGGAGTATTTTATATGAGTACAATTTCTGACAAAGCTAATAATACTCTATGATCAAACCAAATGACCAAATAAATGTAAGTCCCACCACCTTGTATTTCTGACAATTAACTGGCCACCAGATTTATTTTTTTGATATCTTAGGATTTCAGACCACTTAATTCCTGACTTGCATAGATCTAATCACGTCTGTTTTATTGGGAAAGGACATTTTTCTCACCTTTTTCTTTTCTTTTTTTTTTTTTTTAACTTCTTCTGTGGAATCATATTTATTTTCTCCTCCTGTCTGCTTATTAGACGGCCTCCATGCTCAGCAGCATCCCATCTGCCCTGGAGGAGTGTTCTCACTCAGTACCTGACCCCCAGCACCTGAGAACTGTGCTGCACCACCATTCAACACTCGGACACATTGATTTTTCTGGTGAGTCGACTCACGGTTGTATTACAGCACTTTTGCTAAGGCCTAGACTTTGACTAGGCTGCTGTGAAGCTCCTCGTTTAAATTATATATTTTTTTTTATTTGGCATTCAAATTCATTAAATATGATTTTAGTGACATTTAAATGTTTTATTTAAAAAAAAAAGGTATAGACAAAGAATTTCTTCAGATATATCAGATATAACTGGTTCCGCATGTTTTTGCGAGGGGCAAAAAAAGCTCATGGGAAAATGCAAGTTTTAACAAAAGCAGCTGGAAAAAGAGGAATTCGGGACATGGCTGCACCCTGTCGACAGTAAAGATGAAGGATTTTACCGTGTTTTTTCATATATATGTATATTAGGGGTATAAATAATAATCGTTTTGTACGATCCAACAATCCGATGCATCGATACGTCCGCAAGAGAATCGATTCATGTTTTTTTTTTTTTCCTCCGGTCTATTTTTATCCATTTGCTCCTGGAAGTAATTCTCCCTCCCGTGCTTTGGTGGCGCTAAACCTATTTTGCCCTCCTACCTCGCTTCCTGGTTATTCTCTTACAGCAGTGTGTTGCAGCGAGCTTGACACAGAAATTTTTAAATTATGCTCAGTATTGAAGCGTGGTCTGTGCTACACGCTGTGGGTCTAGATACGGCCGAGGCGGGTCAAACTTCACAAGTTGTTTTCCACAATTTCGGTCATAAAAACAAAACAAGCCGGCCTCCTGTCTGCGGCACTGCTACAATTTGGGAGAGGAGCAGTGGAGCGTCTGTGGAGGGGGCGGGACGTCTGGAGCCGAGTTATTGCATTGCACTGATTTTGTGCAGTTTTTAGATGCAAGGCCTTTCAGAATCTATAAGGCAGGGGTATTATTATTTTTTTTTTAAAAAGCATAACGATAGCATAACGATATTACAGCTTTCATTGATTCAAATTTGAAACATTGTCTAGCCTGTAATGTGTTAAAAAATAAAAATAAAGAAAAAATGAACCAATTAATTAATCGTATCGTGGTGTATTCTTGAGTATCGAAAATAATCGAATCGTTGGGTCAGNTTCACGAGTTGTTTTCCACAATTTCGGTGATAAAAACAAAACAAGCCGGCCCCCTGTCTGCCGTCAGCTAAAATTTGGGAGAGGTGCAGCGTAGCGTCTGTGGAGGGGGCGGGGACGTCTGGAGCCGAGGTATTGCATTGCACTGATTGCACTGATTTTGTGCAGTATTTTTGATGCAAAGCCTTTCAGAATCTATAACACAGGGCTATTATTATTTTTCTGTGAATAAGGTTTTAATAGGAATAGGTGGAGTACAACTTTTCTACTTCTGTTATTTGCTGTTGTTTCTTAAAAAAAAAAAGCATAACGATATTACAGCTTTCATTGATTCAAATTTGAAACCTTGTCTGGCCTGTAAGGTGTTAAAAAAATAAAAATAAAAAAATGAACCAATTAATCAATCGTATCGTGGTGTATTCTAGAGTATCGAAAATAATCGAATCGTTGGGTCAGGAAATCGATACTGAATCGAATCACCATGATGGATGTGATTTACACCCCTAATGTATATATATATATATTTATTTATGTGAGAATAATGGGTATTCATTTAAGGCATTAGACTAGAGTTACTCATTTCTGTATAAACCCTGATAATAGTCGGCTTGATTTTTAATTTCTGACAACCTTTGCTCTCAATCAGATGTAACAGAATCCACACATTCCAGTGTACATTTTATCCCATGAGTGCAGAGAGTATTTTCCTTATTCGTAACGCATGAAACTTTGTTTTGAATTTGAATCATGACCCCGTAAGCCGGATGTCGTCTGCAGAGCTTCAGATGTCATTGGTTGTTCTTTGCAACCTTCTCAATGAGCCCTTTAATGCTTGTTGGACTACTTCAGTATGCCGGTCTGTTAAATCTTAGCTCCATTGATGGATAATAGCTCTCACTGTGGAGGGAAAAGTCCTTAGTTTTGACTCTAATGGCAGTTATATTTTTGGGTTTGTTCGGTTTTCTTTAAAGATCAAATCACTATTTTAAAAAAGCACTTTTTATCTGTGTATCCTTGTCTAAATGAAAAATGTGTTGATTTACCTATAGGCTTGATTTAAAAAAATAAATAAATCAGGGGAGTCGCTTATATCTCAGAGATTCCCCACAGCATGGTACTGCCACTGCCATATTTCACCATAGAAATGGTCCCTTTAGAGTAAAGCTCAGTCTTTTTATTTTTCCTCACATAATTTCATTATAATTTCTAGTTTGCAGTTATGCATAACATTGTCCTGCACATAAAATCCCCGTAATATGCGTTGTTTGCACTGTAGCAATTCTGTCTCAGCTAAATTTTAAGCAATCTCTTAAATTGCATCCATTTTCTGCTTGTTTGTGCTTTTTTTTTCTTTTAAAGCCTTGAATAACTTTTGAAAAATACTTTCCTTTTGCTCCACTCCAGATGAAGTGCAAACCATTCCGTCTTCCTTTGGGAACTGCATCCTGTCCTCTCTGTCTCTTCCCCAACTGGAAAAGATTGTGATCGATCCAAGCGAGCTACAGATTCAATCTTCGGACCAGATCCAAGGCTGCATGACCGTGCAGGTGGAGGGCGAAACTGTCACGCTGTTGGACTATATACAGATAGAAGACCCGTCCGGTCTGGTGGAGTCCGAAGAGCACGAAAATATTGAAACAAACACTGAGGAAGCCCCTGATCCGGCACCACAGGAGGATTCTGATGATGCTTTAAAGCCTGCAGCTTTTCAACCACTAAAACAAAGCAAGAGGCTTGAATTAAAGAGAAAAGCTTTAAAATCAAACCGTAATTCAGAGGCAGCTAAGAGGCTGCGGAAGAAATACTCGAATGACAAAACATGTCCTGTGTGCAACAAGACGTTCCTGCGAGCCACAGCCATGCGGCGGCACCAGGAAATTCACAATGAAAACCGTGACCTGAAGTACAAGTGCAGCAGCTGCGATAAGAGATTCAGGGACCAGTACGACATGAACCGACACACCATGAGGGTTCACGAGAAGGAAGAGATGAGTAACAGCCCTAAAGACGAAGATCTGGGCAATCCTTGTACCTCTGAGGAAAACAAAAACTGCTCCTTATGTGGGAAATATTTTGCCCGGGAAGGTGACATGGAGCGACACATGAAGTCCCACTCAGAGGATCGTCCGTATAAGTGTTCCTTCTGCGACAAGAAGTTCAAGAGTCCTTATGTCTTAAAGAGGCACGAGAGGGAGATTTGTAAAAGCAGGCAGCAGAAAGACGTTCTGGATGCAAACACTGACGCCCAGACAGAGGTGTCCGTGGAGGGGAAAATCTGTCCGATCTGCGCCCGGATCCTTCCCTGCTCTACGGACATCGCGAAGCATTTACGCTCCCACTCCGAAGAGCGACCGTACGTCTGCATGACGTGTGAGAAAGGCTTCAAGTACAAAGACACTTTAAAGAAGCACCAGATCATCCATGGACACGAGGGCATACGGGAAGAGCACTGCAAGTCTGTGGAGGAGATTCTGGCTGAAGCCGATCCCCAGAACCAGGAGGACCCTGACATATTAGCTACAACTGAAACAGATTCGGGCACATCAGCAGCGACTACGAAGAGCAATCTGTCTGCGATGGGTCCCAGCAAGAAGAAAACCGGTAAGGTGTGTCCTGTGTGCAACAGGACTTTCGCTAGCCTCAAAACCCTGAACAGGCACGTCCAGTGTCACACAGAGGATCGACCTTTTCACTGCATCTACTGCAAGAAGAGATTCAAACACATGCACGGCCTGAAGAGACACCAGATTTACGCCATCTGTCATAAGAAGACCTCGCGTTTGTCATGGAAAAAGGAGCTGAGAGCAGGACCAAGTCAGAGTGAGGCAAGCAGTGCCACCTCCCACCAGGGAGAGCAGGGCATGATCCCTGTCTGGTGCTCCAACTGTGGCAATCACTTTGAGTACCCGGCCGCCCTGAAGGAGCACCAGGAGAACGTCTGCAAAGTGGAATTAAGGGAGGTGATGAAGTGTGAAGACTGTGGGAAGGAGTTTAAGAGTGTTACGATGTTCAAGGTCCACCAGCGGATCCACGACCCGCTTTACTGCAAGGAGTGTGGAAAGATCCTCGGAGACGAGGCTGCCTTCGAGAGGCACAAGCTGATGCATCTCCCCATGAGCTGCACAATGTGCGAGAAGACCTTCACCCTCCTAAGGCGCCTCAGGGAGCACTATGAGAAGCAGCACGGCTTCACTGGGCCCTTTCCATGTCCGCAATGTGACAAATGCTTCGCCCAGCTGTCCTACCTCGCCCTCCACCAGAGGATTCACAAAGGAGAGTTCCCCTACGCTTGTAACATGTGCCCTGAAAAGTTCAGATCGTCCAACTGTCTGACAGTCCATCAGAGGAAACACACTGGAGAGAAGCCCTTCCTGTGCTGGCAGTGCGGGAAGTGCTACCGCTCCGCTTCAGAGCTCACCGTCCACATGGGGACCCACTCCGAGGAGAAACCCTGGGCGTGTTCACAGTGCAACATGGCCTACCGCACCAAGCTGCAGCTCAGCAACCACGTGGAGCAAGTCCACATCGGCGTGCGGTATCCCTGCAAGAGCTGCGGGAAGCAGTTCATGAAGGAGACTTCTCTGAAGAGGCACGAGCTCATCCACACGGGAGAGAGGCCCCACCAGTGCACCGTGTGCGGGAAAACCTTCCTGACCGCCAACGAGCTCCGCCTCCACAACCGCTATCACACCGGAGAGCGCCCATACAAGTGTGACGTGTGCGGCAAAGCCTTCATCCAGTCCGGCTACTTGAAGTCACACATGCGCATCCATACAGGAGAGAAGCCGTTTAAATGCAGCCTCTGCGATAAAGGGTTCAGGCTATCTTATCACATGAAGAAACACCAGCGGACTCACGTCGATAAACCCCAGAACTTCGTCTGTGGGGACTGCGGGTTGGTATTCCTCCAGAAAAAGCTGCTTTGGGAACATTTAGCCACGCATGAAGTGAAACTGGAGTCGACGTTCACAGATGAAGTTGGACTAGAATTGCAGTAGTTTCCTCAGTGAGCTCTTTGGGTTTTGTTTACAAGTTTGTTTTTTCATGAAAGGAGAATCTTATCCAATCTTCAGAGAAAAACTGCAGGGAAATTAAGCTTCTCTGAACTTTTGGGGACATTAAAAAACAATGCTGTCATTGATGTCTTTTTGTTTTTTGTTGCATCAGCTAATTAATCTATCTGTATGACTTTACATGTTATTTTTTAGAAGTGAGAGGATTTATTTTCATGTACTGTTAGTCACCAAAGAAAAACTGTTACAAACGTTGCTGCATAAAAAGAAAACCTGAATAGATATCTGCAGATTACCTTAACTGGATCCTTCTATTGGTCCAATTCAGTGCCTTGCATAAATATTCACACTCCTTGAATGTGTCCGCATTTTGAACCCTATTTTTTATTTTTATTAGGATTTTGTTTGACAGCTGGACTTAAAGGACCCGAATGGTGAGTTGGTTCTACAAAGGAAAAAAAATGATTAGGTACTTGAATCCAGTTCCCGTGAGTCTGTATTTTCACCGGTGCAACTCTAGAACTCACAATCTATACCTTAAGTCATTGTTACATATTGCAGATGAATGCTTGGCTGCAGTATTTATTGTAGCATGCATTACAACGTATTAAAATATTTGTTTTTCTTGATGGTGTCACCTGAATAAAATCCCTTCTTTTAATTTTCACTCGGTTGGATTGGGTGAAGAGCATTAGTTTTTATGTTTAGCTGCCATTTCTTTTGGATTTAGGTGTTGGCTTTCACTAGGCCGGTGGGCTCCCCATTCACACTGCAGGAAAATTTGGCACAGATATGATTTTGAGTCAAATTGTCAGACCAGGCTGTTCAGAACAAGTTTGGAAGCTGAAACTGGCATGTATCTTGTTACATTGCCTTGTGAAACTAACCTGACTCTGTCAGATGGATTTGCTCCGCATATCCATCTGGAAACCTTCCGTTGAAGTAATTTTGGGAAGGGGC